ACAGAATATGAGCATAATGTATTCACCATGTTAATGAAATATGTTGCATATTGATCTGTCTGTAAGTGAATGAGGTGTATCCAGTGTGGTGTGCACGAGGTAATGCTGCGCAGCCTCACTTCAGTGAGTGAGAGGGCCATTGTGGGGGACAGCCAGCTGCTCCTCTGTCTCTCTGCTCTGTGTTCATTAATGAGATTAGCTATTCGTCTTAGTCTGCCTCAGTGCAAAGGGGTCAGTCACAGGATTATCACCTTGCTCAAAGCGTTGCATCACTTTGTTTCACTTTTTTCCCCCCCTCCTTACTTTCCCACTTCTTGCTCTTTGTGGGTCATTTTTTTCCCTCCAGCCTCCAAAGTATGTTTAGTACAGTTAAAGGTGAGTGGATATACTGCGACGCATTATGAGGCCTCAGGACTGAGTGCGTCTCGACCCTCTGCCACTGAATGAAGCATCTTCCAGGGGAAGGAGGACCGGAGCAGGGGCAGCCAGAGGAGTGAAGGGGCAGCTGGGCCAGCATCTCGCCTGCTGTGGCAGAGTCCGGTCCGAGACTCTGGACGAGTCATCCTCATGCCACTTGTAAATAACAAAGTGGGAGAGGATTGCACAGTCGGCTCGGACAAGGCTTTGGCTGATGGAGAGGCTCTGGTGGGGTCTTTAATAAAGGTAAATCCATACTTTTACAGTTTATGCTTTGGTGTTTTCCTACTTTGTTACTTTATTTATTGTAGTTTGTGTGCAGGTTACCATCAAATACATTTCTAAAGTATTAATCACACAAAGATGCTTTTACGTATACAGTTATTTGTGACCTATAGAAAGACAGTCAAGAGTTGCATGAGATTGGAGAAAGGAGTATTAAAAGTCGATTATGTTCAGCATTGTTAATTACACCCTTTTTTATTTTTTGTAACTCTAAAATGAGTATTTCACAGACTAAAGAAATTAAGGCAGGTTTTTTTCCCCTGTGGCTAAAAAGGCACTCTGAATGAAAAGACATTTTTGGTCCACTGCATCTTTGTGATCATTCAAGCGTCTGTGTTAGTGTGTTAGATAATGTCATGATCAAGTTTTTCCCCTGTTACAAGCAAATATTTAGTTAGTTACTAAAATGTACTTTCTTGTCTGTGGAATTTTTTCTGTACTGTAACATGGTCCATGTTTTTCTTGGTAGTATAGAGCATTGCTGTTTGCTGTGAAAACGAATGCATGTAATATTGTAATATGTAATTTATTGCTATTTTTGAATTGCAGCAGTGTATCGTATATGTAGAACAACAATAAGTAAATGACAAACTGATAATGTCAGCAATTGTAGAGTAGGTATGAGATATTTTTAAAACATTTAACAAATAAAGTGAGAATAGATCTCTATTTTCCTAGTATTAAGCTTATAAATCTTATAAAATACAATTTTGAAAACTAAAAATGAACACAACAAAAAAATGTAGTAGTGTAATGTACTTGTTTTCTTCCCTCAGTTGTCCACGTCTTGAAAATGAGCCGCCGGTACTGCGAGCGCACAAGGTTGCTTTGGCTTATCTAGAAATAGATCAATGATAATGAGATTATTCATAATATTTTTCATTGAAACCAGAGCTGCTAATCCTGCAGGGCTAAGATGATGCTGCAAGATAATAAAACACTGTAACCGTATGATTGACATCATGAAGCTGTAACTGTTCCTTTTCCCCCATTTTCCAGTTCTTGTTTCTTGCAGCTCTTCTTGCAGCTTTAGACATTCAGTTTTTTTTCTGTTAACATGCACTGATTGGGTGATTACATTTGCCTTGGAGATATGTACAGTCGTGGGAAGCTCCTCAGAAGCTCTACATATAAATATAATAAAGTCTTTCTTTTTATTCCGAATACAGGTGGTGGCATGTTACCGGCACTTGGCATCATGCGTTGGTGGATGCACAGACAGCTTGCAGCTGCGGGACGAGCTCCGGCAAACGAGAGAAAAGGCCCAAAAGTTGGCTGTGTCCATCCGCTGCCACCTGACCTCACACCTACGGGACAAGAGCCTGCCCGAGGATAAGCGCAAGGAGATGGAGCTCCTCTGGGTGGCCTTCTCCTCCAGCTTGGAGCTCCTCCATGTTGACATGTGCAAAGTCTTCAGCATGGGCGACATTTTCTCTCTGGCCAACACTGCTACACTGGTGCAAACTGGCCTTCAAGGTGAATGGAAATCCTGTACATTTTATTGCAAATGCAAATTGAAAATTCAAGAGGTCACCAAAGAAAAGTAAAATAATTTAAAAAAAAATGTAATGAACTCTAATCCCATGACTGATAGAATAAATTATTCTGAAACTATAACCAACAAAATAATTGTAAACAGTATTTTTAGAGATTTTTTGGGTTCTGATTAATTTTTCTAATTCTTCTTCTTCTTACTTAATCGAATAACACGATGGACATTGATGTGAAAATGTGTTGATTTCTTACCATGCCACTTTCAAACCATACATAGCTAAATTATCAGATATATGTTGAGCCCTGACTTCAAGTCAGTTTCTCTCCTGTCCTTTAATCGAGTGTTGTCTCTTTTCAAAGCTGCTCAGACACCACCAGTGGGGAATTGTATTGTGGAGATGCTGCCTCTCTCCTGCACTCTCTCTGCTTTTTAGCATGAATGACACTGATTACCCTGAGGGGCAACACGACATTTCTTTATTTACACCAGGGTGGTGCAGAGAGCCACCAATTCATTGTCTGCAAAACACCAGAAGACAAGAAGTAGGACATGATGTAGTGGAACATATTTCCATTGGAAAGAAATCACGGCTAACAGAGAGCAACTGTGTATATAAGTTAAATTAACGTTTAAAGTAATCACATCTCGCATTAGAATTAATCTCTGAGAGTGTCTTGCTGTTGCTTTCACTCATGTTTTCTCAGAAAGCTGGAGAATTTCCCGCTGTGGCCTCTCCCAAAACCACTGATGTCAGTATATCTCACTTGATTTATTTCTGTGGAAATGCGTGGAACAAGTTCTAGATCAGGCATCGGCACTGCATCAGTGGAGAATGTTTTTTTGTTTGTGCACATATCATATGGGATTTTGTAGTGCCACTCATCTGAGTAATGCATTTGTTATTTATTTATTTATTTATACATGTCTCCTTTATTTAACCAGGAAGGTCAGATTGGGATACAGTTCTCTTCTGCCCTAATGGTCAACATAGGTAACAATGAAGAAGTTTCAAATATAAATACAAACAAGCAAAATTTACGCTCACACAAATAAAAAACATAGTAAAACGCTGCAAACATATTAAAAATATACACAGTAAAAACATACAAGAACATGCAAAGAAACAGATTGGATTCACTTTCAGTAATGAAGTATATGTAAACACCTGTAGTACATGAAAACACCTACAACTAAATCTATCAGGCTATCTATATAATGTGACAGCAGTGGGAAAATGATGAGTCATTATAAACAGCATATTGCAGTATGAGCAACTTGACAATTTGTGAAATTTTTTATTATTATTTTTATTATTATTATTATTATATTATTATATTATATGTTTTATTATTTTATTATTTAGTTTTTAATAATAGTGTCTCAGATTCATCAACTGTTTGTTCTGTGATGTTATGCAACAGTTGAACTAGGTACAGACTAAAGCACCAGATTTCATGTTGGCCATTTCAGGAGGAGGCAGTGAGGTGGCAGCTCGGGCCCTCAGTCTGCCAGACTTGAACCAGGCCCAGACTGCAGCCCCAGCTGCCGGCCTGGAGATCCAGGAGCGCGGTGCAATTGAGCAGGAGATCAGCCACATCGACCACATGATCGACGACATGGAGATGAAGGTCAACGTGCTGCGCTGGATGGTAGAGCCCCAAGGGCCGCAGTACGCAGACCCGCTCAGCAGCACCGACAGCGCCTCCCTGGCTCTGCTCTCCGTGGACGAGGAGCAGCCTGGACACCAACCCCTCTGCCAGCGCAGTCACATCTTTGTGCTCATACTGCTGATGGCAGTTGTTCTGTTGGCAGCCACTTTATCTGTCTGCATTGTCTTCTTCTCATGAGCAAAATGTCAACCTTTTCACCAACACTGTACAAAAATGGCAAGCTTTGCATTTTGTAATAGCAATCCAATTATTTACTACTGCATTAGATATTTATCAACAGAAACACACTGAAATAAATCTGGATGCAAACTACTTTTGCATTTTATTACAATGAATGCAAAGCTGCAATATACTTTACATTATCTTTGTTGAACAAAGTAACCATAAAAACATGATGCTGCCAATTAGAAGTGTTTGATATTGTATTAAATTGAATTATAATAGGACGATTGTTTATTTTACTTACTCAACTGTAAAAAGGTTTTTTTCCCCCTTTTTTCCCATGCAGTATGTTCTTTTTGTGATAAAGGAAGGAACCATTTCTGAAATGTTACAAAGCCTCTTTTTGAACATTTAATTCCTTGTTGCCATCAAGATGATATATAGGTGCTGATGCTTGTAGTTGATTTCCTGTAATAAGATGAATATTCATTTCCAGTGATATTTTTAGGATTAAGTGTGTATATAATCTGTGCTGTAGAGACCTGACAACATGTAGATTTATGCTATATAAACGTTTCACCTTTGATAAAACATTGTGTTGCTTTTTATTTATGTTTATTGATGAGCAAATATGTTGGGCTTGTATTTCAGATGGTGTGTAACAAATACTTTGCTGAATTTAACAGTTTTAATTTGCTTTAGTGCAAAATTATTACATTAAAGGTTGAGTTGGTAGGATTTAGGGACATCTAACCTTGTAAACCTGTTTAGATAAGTGTTATAAACCTAAAGTAATCTAGTGGTGAAGCAGCAGATTACAAGTACCGTAATCGTACAGTAAATATATAGAGAGAGTTGTTATTGCACGTTATTTACCAGTTCAAAAACGTTTTACTTTGAAAGGGCAGCTTGTGGGACAAAAAGTTTGACAGCCGCTGTCACAACTTCTCAGGCGGAAGTGCTCCAGTAAAGTCATCTGTCTGCGGCGGCAGGTCGTGACCATGGTGCTGAAACAGTGTCATTCGCGACTTAAGCTCTTTGTCTTGAACCACCCGGATAAGAAGTGGCGTGAGCCCTCTGCTTTTAACCGGGACACAGCGGGCGGCTGTCCCGCCACCGTGTCGACTGTGACGGCCGTGAACACATCACGGAGTCTCCACGGTTTCGCTCCGGCAGCTCGGAGCGGCTGTGAGGAGGAGCCGCGGGGAGAGAGGGGAGCTGCAGGACCGAGGATCTCACATGTTTCTGCCGGGACACACATGTCTGTGAGAGGTAACTGATGTCTGATCAACACTGAACACAAAGACACTCCTGCAATTCTAATAACTGATATCATCAAATAAGCACTGTCGAATGAATGGCAAAATAAAAGTCCTCTACAGGTCAGAGAGGTCAAATGCATTACACCATAACTACACCTCATTATACTGGTCATAATAATAATGAAAGTAAGAACACAACTTATTTATATAGCACCTTTCAAATTGAAGTCAGACTAAGGAAACAATTAAAAAACTATGTTATACTGTACTATGAAGATCACACAGCAATTATGCACAGATACAGAAATAAAAATAATGTTACTCATGAGAAAAGAGTAGAAACAAGATCAAATGAAACATGATATAAAAATTTGAATAGATGGTAAGGTAACAAATGAGGAGAAAACAAACATATAAAATGTGTCTTTGAGAGACTTACAAGAGTTTGCAAGACGGATCTCCTCAGGGAGAGAGGGAGTCCTGACAGAAAAGGACTGGTCACCACTGGTCATTACACTTTTCACTGGTATTAATGCTCATCCACTCACAGTGACAAACTATGAACACACCACTCCTGACATTCAGGTTAAATATATTGTATTATCTGGCAGTTCCTATAATTTATATGGGGAATATAGACACATTAAAGACATACAATTATAGACCAATAAACAAATTAAGTATTAAGTCCACAGATTACAAACTACACACTCCTATAGTTACAGCTCTTATATACAAGTAAGTGTAAAGCCAGACCCCGATGCTGCATGTTTTCATTAGAAACCTTTACCCGCATACACAGTGTTTATGCAATATGCACCAGTGCCCAGATGTGTCACCTTTACTGTGGTATTGTTGTGTGTGTGTGTGTGTGTGTGTGTGTGTGTGTGTGTGTGTGTGTGTGTGTGTGTGTGTGTGTNTGTGTGTGTGTGTGTGTGTGTGTGTGTGTGTGTGTGTGTGTGTGCATATGCATATGAACTGTTTACATTTGTAAATTTTGTTCAACCCGTCCAACCCTTACCCACTCACTGCTCATGGTTGCTCTGATACTAATGGACATTATGTGGATAATGTGAGGAGTTTCAGACTTTGTTAAATCAATATAAAATGTTGTTGCTCATGTCAATGTTATTTTTGTTGCAACAGCAGAAAAAACACACCAGCAGAAAGCTTATACACTGCCAAAAATTCTTGTGTATTAATTTAAAATACTGAACAAAACTTATGGGTGACATATTATTACCAGAAAAGCCCTCAGAAGGCTCATACCTGTTCCAAGGCTGATTGGGACCTTAATCACCATATTACATGTAGATATATTGAGATCGGATACATATATACACAAATATGTATATGCTCCAAATTTCACCTGTTCATAAGCACCTTACATTTGCCTTTCATCTAGATCTCTGCATCATTTCTTGAGAAGTTCATAAATATCCTCTCTCACAATTTTAAAGAAAGTAAAAAGATCCTGGATGTATCCCCTTAATCAAATCTGCTCAAAAACGTTAATATGTTCTTCCTTGAGTCACACCCCACCCTTCCACTGAAATTTCTATAAAATCTGTTCTGTAGTATCTGCATAATTCTCCTATCAGTCAGCAAATTAGAATATAAACTCCTTGGCAAAGGTGGCTCTGAAAAAACCACAACAACCCTGCTTTGAGTTACTACTTAATCCACTAAAATATAAACACTATGTCCAATATGAAATTGTTAAATCTGTGACAACCATTTAAAAAACACTTTTTACTCATGTCACACGTCCTGACAGAAGGTGAATAGCAATATGTAAACACAAGAACACATTTTGCTTTAAAGTATGCAGTGTCATACTGACTGCGATGGAAAAAAACAAGAGAAATGGGAAAATGACTGATGCTAAAAGTTGTGCAATAACTCTTCTGTGTAACCACCATCTCCTCTGTGTGGATTTCAGAGCTGAGCACCTCTGTCAGAACCTTTCAGTACGATCTGAAACCAGACGTACCTAACTCTGAAGGCCGGAAGCTGTTTTTTGACACACATGCGGTCGTACGACTCTTTGAAGAGAATGGTTTGGCTTCTTCTGTTGCTTCGTTTTCACTTGTTCTGAGTTCGGAACATTTGGTAATTTCTCTCATCCATATGTATTTTTTCAAACATCAACAGGTTTCACAACTCAGCAAGCTGAGGTGATGGTGAAAGTGCTGGTGAGGATGACCAACTCTAACATGGATGTCATCTATAACGACATGGTCACCAAAGTGCAGCAGGTTTGTACTGTAAATTGTACATATGAACCATGATCATCATGTTTCTAACACACCACATTATACGTATCTTAGTGAAAATGCACTGTTAACCTTTTAGTCAAGCACATGTTTAGTAATTATCTGGAACAGTATTTGTTTATAAAAAGAATTCAAATTTAAGGCAACATTTCATAACTTCACCATCTTCATTTGCTTTNTATCAAAGGACCCTCAGTTACTTCCTGGAGAATTTTTTTATGCCCACCTTTATAAGCATTATATTCAATACTTAATACTTCTGCTGTAAATATAAATATGATGTTGTGCAGTTTGTAAAATATAGTGCCAGTAACAGGGACATCTTATACCACATTGTGGAAAAAGATTGTAGCTGTCTAACTATTAAACCATATTGACCATAGTGTAATGTCAGCTGAGGAAAGAAGAGAAATAATGTCAGTTGGAGCCATATATTTGATTTGTAATTTCCAGTGTATGTTCGTCCTGAGCAAAAGGGGATGTGTGTTGAAGACTGGGGTTTTCCAAAGGAAATTGTAGTTCAGGCCAGTAATCAGAGTGGCTGCTTACTGCTTTATGTTTTTTTGACTGTTTAATTTAATTTAAAAAATGTATTGAAAGTGATGGACGCTACAGCATACGAAAGTACTACATGCAATATATTCCTTATGTTATAAATGCAAAATTTAAATTTCATTTAATCATGAGTAAGTGTCTAAACAAAGTTCAATCAGCAACCAGTAGAGAAGTAATTTATTGGACTCAGTCACTACAACGTCAGTCAAGGAGCTGATTATTTTACATGCTGTTGAGTCAATTATTAACTTTTATTCCATATAATTAAATTGCTTCTAGAGTTTTTAGGCATACCCATTGGTTCTGCAGATGAATGTTTTTCAGTATTTAGTGTTTCTTTATTACTCCTGTATGCTTTGTGTGATTTTTGGAAGGAAATAATGCTGCAGCGTGTGATGTCTCAGATTGCATCTGTGAAGAAGGACATGATCATTCTTGAGAAAAGCGAGTTTTCCACTTTACTGGCAGAGAACGAGGTACATTTTATGTTATTGCTGTGCTGATGACAGACATGTTTGGTTACTGAATTCACATCCATGTTTATGCGTCGATCTATCCACTGTAAAGTTGAAGCAGAAACATGTTTAAGTTAATATTTAATCAAGGGCTATGACAAATGTTGTATACTATGTCTATTGACTATTAGATGGTAAAATTAAAAGCAAAATGAACAATTAAGGCAAATTAATATAAATATAAATCAGTCATGCCAGATAATAGTGGATGTGGAAGACTCTTATAATTTAGTTGTGTTATGTTTGACGTGTTTGCCTAAAGTGGGAACATGAATGACTGTGTACTGTACAGTATGTTTCTTTAAACATCTTGATTAATTTGTTTTTCATATTTTCAAAATTCCTCCCAGAAACTCAAGATCCAGTTACTGCAGCTGAAGGTCGGACTGGCTGTAAGTGGTTAGATTTACAAACATCAGATTATGTTTTATAGTTTATGGTACAAACATTTCTTATGAATTTCTTCTGTGTGTCTTCACCTTGCAGGACGTCATGAATAAAGTTCGCTCAGATGCTATTTTGGACATGAATTTGGAGAAAAGCCGTGTTAAGGAACTGGTAAGTGTTCAAATTATGTTTAAATTAATGTTTGCAAATCTGTTGATAGCACTTTTAGCTATCTAGTAGTCATTTATGATAATCATTACCTCAACTTTAAGAATTAAAAGGATGATGGGCTTA